TGCCTCATCTTCCTTCCAAGGAGTGGCTGATGAGTTTGAACCACCAGCCTTCTGGTTAGCAGTCAAGTGCTTTAGGCACTAGGCTACCAGAGCTCCTGTTCTATGGTAGTGTTATATTTATCAAGTTGTTTCCTTTACTCTGCAATCTGTTTTTTTTTTTTTAAAGTGTTTTTTATTTTTTTCTGATGGTGGTGTTACATCAACTCATAATTGAGCTTGTTTTGTTGAATTCATGTTAAATTCCTTGAAAGCACAATACACTTGGAGGAACTTCTGTTTCTTAGGTTATCTTTTCTTCTGAACTCCTCTGCCCATTTTCTAATTGGATTATTTGCCTTTTTATTGTTGAGGTATTGAAGTTTTCTGTAAATTTTAGAGATCAATCCCTCGTCCTAGGTGTTGTTGCTAAAAATTTTTTCCCAGTCTGTGAGTTCTCTTTTCACTCTTTTGGTGAAATCTTTTGATGCGCATAAGTCTCTAATTTTTAGGAGGTCCCAGTAATTTATTTCGTCTTCTGGTATCTGTGCATTTTTATTTATGTTTGATAGTATATTTATGCCGTATATGAGGGCTGCTAAGTTTGTTCCTAGGAGCAGCCCTAATATAAGGCACAAATATACTATCAAACATAAATAAAAACGCACAGACACCAGAAGACAAAATAAATTACTGGGACCTCCTAAAAATTAAGTTTGTCCCTAGGAACTCTGGTAGTGTAGTGCCTAAGGCACTTGACTGCTAACCAGAAGGCTGGCAGTTCAAACCCACCAGCCACTTCTTGGAAGGAAGGTTGGGCAATCTACTTCTGTAGCGATACTGCCTTGGAAACCCAAGGAAGGGTTGCTATGATCTGGGTCCAACTCGACGGCACATAACAACAACAACAAGTTTGTCCCTATTTTTTCTTTGAGGATTTTTGTAGTTTTAGATGGTCTTTGATCCATCTTGAGTTCATTTTTGTGTATGGTATGAGATATGGGTTTCATTTTTCTGCAAAAGGATATCCAGTTTTGCCAACACCGTTTGTGAAAGAAATTATCTCTTCCCATTTAATGAGTTTTGGCCCTTTGCCAAAGATCAGCTGTCCAAGGTAGATGAATTCATTTCTGGATTCTCAATTCTATTCCATTGGTCTAATGTCTAATGTCTCTTGTTGTACCTGTACCAGGCTGTTTTGACTACTGTGGCCATGTAATAGCTTTTAAGATCAGGAAGTGTGAGGCTCCCTCCTTTGTCTTCTTTTGTTGTTGTTATGTGCCATCAAGTCAGACCTGACTCATAGTGACCCCTCCTTGGGTTTGTGAGGCAGTATCACTACGGAAGTAGATTGCCCAACCTTCCTTCCAAGGAGTGGCTAGTGGGTTTGAACTGCCAGCCTTTTGGTTAACAGTCAAGTGCCCTAGGCTCTACGCCACCAGAGCTCCTTTAGTAGTGCTTTACTTATCCAGGGTCTCTTTCTATTCCGTGGCAAATTGGTGATTAGTTTTTCTATTTCTTTAAAGAATAATGATGGAGAGCTATTACACTGTGGGAAATTGCAGTCAATGTCATAAAATAAAAGATGTATGAACTGCTGTATGGTAAATGAATTTGTTCTGTGAACTTTCAACTGAATCACAATATTTTTTATTATTATTAAAAAAAGATATATGGAAAATTCTGGAGGGATATAATGATAAGGATGATATTTATTGGCCATAATAAATCATAACAACATACAATAAATAATATGTCATTTTAAAAAAAGAATGATGATGGAATCTGGATCAGGATTGCATTGTATCTGTGGATTACTTGGGATGTGTTGACATTTTCATGATGTTAAGTCTTTTTATCCATGACCATGGTATATTTTACCATTTATGTAGGTCTCTTTTTAATTACTATCATGAAATGAGCAAAGACCTGCAGTTTGGAAAACCAAAAGGGAAAAACATGCTCAGCATTTCTCAAGCTGAAAAAATTGAGGAAAAAATTTAAGCCTCGAGTTGCAATATTGAAAGATTCTATGGGAAAACTATTGAATGATGCAGGAAGCATCAAAAGAAGATGGAAGGAATACACAGAGTCACTGTACCAAAAAGAATTGGTCGATGTTCATCCATTTCAGGAGGTGGCATATGATCAAGTAGAAACTGTACTGAAGGAAGTGGTGAAGAACAAGGCTCCAGGAATTGACGGAAAACCCACTGAGATGTTTCAACAAACGGATGCCCTGCTGGAGGCATTCACTTGGCTCTGCCAAAAGATTTGGAAAGACAGCTACCTGGCCACCTGATTGGAAGAGATACATATTTGTGCCCATTCCAAAGAGAGGTGATCCCACAGAATGTGGAATTTATCAAACAGTATCATTAAAATCACATGCAAGTAAAATCTTACTGAAGATAATTCAAAACCAGTTGCAGCAGTATATTGACAGAGAGCTTCCAGAAAAGCAAGCTAGATTCAGAAGAGGACGTGGAACCAGGGATGCCATTGCTGATGTCAGCTGGATCTTAGCTGAATGCCAAGAATACTTGATATTTACTTACATTTTATTGACTATGCAAAAGCATTATGTGGATCATACCAAATTATGGATAACATTGAGAAGAATGGGAATTCCAGAACACTTGATTGTACTCATGAGGAACCTGTACATAGATCAGGAGGCTTACATTTGAACAGAACAAGAGGATACTGTATAGTTCAAAATCAAGAAGGGAGTGTGTCAGGGTTGTATCTTTTCACCATATTCATTTTGTATGCTGAGCAAATAATCTGAGAAGCTGGATGATGTGAAGAAGGACATGGCATCAAGATTGGAGGAAGACTCATTAACAACTTGTGATTCACGTATGATGCAACTTTGCTTCCTAAAAGTGAGGATGACTTGAAGCACTTATTGATGAAAATTAAAGACTACAGTCTGCAGTATGGATTATACCTCAATGTAAAGAAAACAAAAATCCTCACAACTGGTCCACTGTTAGACAGCTTCACGGTGGATGGAGAAAAGATTAAAGTCGCCAAGGACTTCATATTACTTGGTTGTACAGTCAACACCAAAGGAAGTAGCAGTCAAGACATCAGACGACATATTGCATTGGGAAAATCTGCTGCAAAAGACCTCTTTCAAGTGATATGGAGCAAAGATGTCTCCTTGAAGATTAAGGTGTGCCTAACCCAAGCCATGATATTTTCAATCACCTCTTATGCATGTGAGAGCTGGACAATGAATAAGGAAGACCAAAGAAGAGTTGATGCTTTTGAGTTGTGGTGTTGGAGAAGAATGTTAAGAGTACCATGGACTGCTAAAAGGACTAACAGATCTGTCCTGGAAGAAGTACAGCCGGAATGTTCCTTGGAAGCGAGAATGGCCAGACTTCATCTCATCTACTTTGGTCATGTTGTCAGAAGGGACCATTCTCTGGAGAAGGATATCATGCTTGGTAAAGTGGAGGGTCAATGAAGAAGGGGAAGGCCCTCAACGAGATGAATTGACACAGTGACTGCAACGATGGACTCAGATATAGCAAGGATCATGAGGCTGGCACAAGACTGGGCAATGTTTTGTTCTGCTGCGCATAGAGTCACTATGAGTTGTAAACAACTCAACAGCACCCAACAACCACCACCACAACAACTTTTGGTTTCTTATAGTAGTGTTTTGTAGTTTTCTTTGTATGGGTCTTTTGTGTCTCTGCTTGGATTTATTCCTAAGTACTTCATCTTTTGGGTGGTTATTGTAAATGGTATTGTTTTCCTGATTTCCTTTTCTGTGTATGATCCTATACATAGAAAATCCCAAGGACTCGGCAGGAAAAATTACTGGACCTAATTGAAAGATTCAGTGAAGTGGCAGGGTACAAGATCTACAAAAATCAGTTGGATTCCTTTACTTTAATGAAGAGAACTCTGAAAAGGAAGTCAGGAAAACAACACCATTCCAGAATATTTTTATTACCACAAAAAGAAACATGACATCCATTAGCAGTAACTCACAATTACCACCTTCCCCCAGCAACCACTAATCTACTTTTTGTTTCCATGGATTTGCCTATTCTAGATATTTAATATCAATGGAATCATACAATACATGGTCTGTTGCTACTGACTTCTTTCACTTGGCTTGTTTTTAAGGTTCATCCATGTTGTAGTATGTATCACAGCTTTATTCCTTTGTATGACTGAATAATACTCCTTTGTATGGGGTATATCACATTTTGTTCATCCATTCATCAGTTGGTGGACACTTGGTGTCTTAGTTTGGGGTCTCTAGAGTAGCAAAACCAGTGAGACATAGATAGATAGATAGATAGATAGATAGATAGATAGGGATTTCAAGAAAATGGTTCATGCAATCATAGGGGCTGGCAAGTCTCAAATCCATAGGTCTGATGGCAGGTTCTAGACATCTGCTGGCTCACAAGATGGTGGGAGACTGGTGAATCCAAAATATGCAGGTCAAGCAGCAACCCAGAAATTTCTCGGGTCAGGTGACGAGAAGATCACTGGGCCCAAAGAGAGAGAGAGAGAGCAAGCAATCCCTGCCAGACATCCATTTATATTCTGGAGGCCACCCCCACACACACACAAGGAACCACCCCCTTTCAGTTGATTGGCTGATCACATCAGATCACATCATGGAAGGTAATTACATTACATTATGGAACAACACCCAGTCTAGTATCTGCCAAACAACTGAGAATCGTAGCCTAGCCAAGTTGACACAAAATTAACCATCACCCTTGAATTATTTCCACTATGTGGCTATTATGAATAATGTTGCTTTGAATCTTTTTATGGATGAGGAAATGGAACAGCAGCAAGAGGGGTGCAGAGAGGAGCAACAGTTTGCCCAACATCATAGTTATAGTAAGCGGCAGAGCCAAGATTCAGACCCAGATCTTTCTCCACAGTTGGCCTCAGCCCCATGTGGGGGTGGGTAAGTCAGGAACTGGAGACTCGGCAGTGAGAGGACACACCTGATGGGCCATGCTTCCTCCTCCATGCAGGGGAGCTGACATTGGCCCAGGAGACAACTGTGGAGCTGAGCTGTGGAGCAGGGCCGCTACAAGTGATCCTGGGCCCAGGACAGGCTGTGGTGCTGGACTGTAATCTGGGGACTGCCACTGCTGGACCCCCCACTAGTGTGACCTGGAGCAAGGATGGGGCCTCCCTGCCTGAGCACCAGCCCCTGCACTTGCTGCCCAATGGCTCCCTGTGGCTGTCCCAGTCACCAACACTTGATGGAAGTGATGAGGTGACCACTGGGGCCTCAGGCATCATTGAGGGCAGCTATTCCTGCCTGGCCCATGGCCCCCTTGGAGTGGTGGCCAGCCAGGCTGCTGTGGTCAAGCTTGCCAGTAAGTGCCTGCGTCTGAGGTCTGGGACTGGAGAGCTGGGGTGTGGAAATTGGAACCACAGTTAGTTACCTACACGAACATTTGTTTCTTGAGTCCACTTCCCTTTTTCCTGCCTCCCATCCTGATCAGTGGGTCCTTTCCTGGAATTTCCCTCCCTATTCATTATCCCAAGGAGCTCTGGTAGCATGGTGCCTAAGGCACTTGACTGCTAACCAGAAGGCTAGAGGTTCAAACCCACCAGCATTCCTCAGAAGGAAGGTTGGGCAATCTACTTCTGTAGTGATACTGCCTTGGAAACCCAAGGAGGGGTCGCTATGAGTCAGGTCTGACTCGACGGCACATAACAACAACATTCAGTATCCCATTATCTTCCCACTTCTTCTCCACTCCTTCGTTCCTCCTCCTGTGCTTTACTTTTGGGGCCTAGAGTCTGGAGCTGTGCTCTCTTCCAGGAAGCCTGCCAGAGAGGTTAGTAAGGGTGTCGGAGCCTCCTTGTGGGGAGCTCCCCACCCCTACCCAGGTTGGAGGATGGAGGTATATCTGACCTCCACCTCCTCGTAGGAATCAGCCTCGGTCTGCTGCTAATGGTGATTCTCCCCCATCATGAAGTTAGAGGACATCAGATGTTTCCACAAAGCCATTCTTTACAGATGGACTATGTGGAGTTAAGCCCCACACTCCAGCCCCTTCCTTGGGTAACTGTCAGGAGGCACAGATCTCTATGAAATAATTTTCAGGCCAGGAGAAATATTTATCTTACTGTAGTCTGACCGTTACAGTGATATTTGGCAGGGGGATTTTGGAATTTCTTCTGTTCTCAGCATCTGACCAGAAATCCCTGCTTCTTATCCCTTCGGCCACCTCTCTCCAACTGCGTGTGTCCTTATGGTCTGAATTTGCTCACTTTGTGTCTGTTGCTCTGTGTTTCTGTCTCTGTGTGTGTGTGTGTTTTGCTGCCTCTACTCTTTTTCTCTCTGCTCCTCTCCTGTCCCTGCCTGTGTCTCACTGTCCTCATCCCCAGCACTCGCAGGCTTCTCTCTGCACCCGGAGTCTCAGACAGTGGAAGAGAATGGGACAGCTCGGTTTGAGTGCCACATTGAAGGGCTGCCAGCACCAGTCATTACTTGGGAGAAGGACCAGGTGACAGTGCCCAAGGAGCCTCGGTGAGTGCCCTAAAGGGGAGTGTGGGTTGGGTCCTGGTGGGAAGATCAGAGGGGTTTCTGAGATGTGCTCAGGAACTGGGGTCCAATAATCCAAGTAACTCCATTTGCCCAAACCAGCTTGGGAGCCAACCACTGCCTGACACCCGCTCATTTCTGGTCCCAGAGATATGTTAGACAAGAAATTTTCTGCTCCCTGAGAGGAAAGCCGCCCACCAAGCTTTGGCGCCTAGATGGGGACTAGTGGTGGGGTCCTTCAGAGCATGTCTAAGCCAATCACTTGCTTTATTGAGAAGGAAACTGGGGACCAGAGAGGAGCTATGATTTATCCAAGGCCACATGGTGAGTCACTGGCAGAATATTCCTTGTTTGTTCAGGGCCCCAAGGCTTCTGGGAGGGTTTTCCCTTTTAAATATTCCTCCAGAGGTTCCAGCGGGGTGAGGAGTGGAGAGTGGTGGTTCTGTGGTAGAATTCTCACCTTCTGTGCAGGAAACCAGGTTTGATTTGACAGAGGCTGATGTGTTGCTAAAGGAGCTCTGATGGCAAGTGCCTAAGGCATTTGGCTGCTAACTAGAAGACTGGTGGTTCAAACCCACCAGCCCCTCCATGGAAGGAAGACCTGGCAATCTAGTTCCATAAAGATTTACTGCTTTGGAAACTCAGTGGGAGCCACTGTGAGTCAGAATTGACTCAGTGGCAGTGGGTTTGGTTTGCTTTTTGGTTATGTGTTGCTATGGTGCTGAACAGGTTTCAGTGAGGCTTCCAGACTAAGACTGGGAAGAAAGGCCTGGTGATCTACTTCTGAGAACCAGCCAATGAAACCTTGATGGATCACAATGATCTAGTCTGCCACCAATCATGGGGATAGGCTGGGCAGCATTTCATTTCATTGTCCCTGGAGTCACAGAGAGTGTGGGACCAGCTCAATGCTTCCATCCTGGATGCAGTGCTACTCTTCTTGTTACGGTCCCATTCAGTAGAGAGCAGCCAGCTGACAAATGGATTATGGAAGTCCTTCCTGTCTCATCCTCCTCTCTCCTCTCAAAATCAGTGGTAGGCAGAGCCATCCCAGTGTGGAGTTTCTGGGGTAGAAGAAAAGCAGAAGCCAAACCTCAGACTTGATCCCTATTTTGGGAACCAGATATGCATTTGTTGTGACCATTCACTGTTGATTTGCATCTATGGTCTCTGTGTTGGTCTCATGACTGGGTCATTGCCCCATGGATTCTTGTATCTTTGGAAATGTGTCTCAAGGGTCTTGCCCTTGGGCCCTGAAATCCTTTCCCTGCATCTCTCTAGCTTAATTCGCAGCTTGCTTGCTTTCCTTCCCTCCTGGGTGGAGGTGGGGTTCCAAAGGTTCAGAAATGCTGTTTTCCAGATTCCCCTCTCCTAGGACTGGACTAACCTTCTCATGACTGTATTGAGTTGTCCCGGGTCATCTTTTTCCCCTGTTTAGATGGAAGTGGGACATGTAGGAGAAACTTAAAGGAAAGTCACTGAACACATCCCTGTGATAGTTGTGAGGGAAGAAGAAGAGCAAGAAGTCAAGACATAAGAGATGCTCTTGACTTTGGTGACCAGTTAGCCCCATAGTCCCTCAACATGTCACTTCTCACCCAGCCTATAAAATGAAGGGTTGGATTTAAGTCAAGTTCTTTGTAGAATATTCATCCCATACAATGCTTCTTGAAAAAAGCATTCTATGATCAAATAAAGTCTTGGCCTATAACTTGGAGTTAGCAAGTCCTTAAGAAGGATTTGTTTTACCAAGTGCTTCTTAGACTCATTTGTCCATGAACCCCTTTTAAAACAGAAGGCCTTCCCATGAATGAGCATTCTAGAGAGTGACCCTTGAGAAATGCTGCCTGAGCCCTTCGAGCTGTGAAGTTTTAAATTCTGTGGCTTTGTAAATGCAGGAGCCACTGTTGTTAGGTGCCTCCTGGGAGTTGCATGAACCCAAAACAAATGAACTGGGCAAGAAACAAGTGAGAGCCTACTCCTGGCAACCCAGAAAGGGTGGGAGGTAGCAGAAAAATTTCCCCGTGTTAAAAGTCACAATAGCCACCACTTAATGAGTTTACCCTGGGCGAAGCTTTTTACATATGTTTTCTCAGTTAATCTTTCCCATCATCCTTCAAGGTAGGTTTTTTTTAAATTTTTTTCATATTTCTCCTCTATTTTCTCTTAGGTTGTCTTCCTAGCAGATATGTTTTTAAAATGCAGATAAACAAAAAGAAACAAAAATTACCCATTATCCTACTACCCATACAAAACCACTATTAGTTTTGACATTTGTCCTTTCAGACTTTTTTCCTATATTTGCTGTAACTATTCTCTTTTAAAACTTGGATCATACTGTACCTACTGTTTTTTTGTTAAATCATCTTTAAAAAAAAAAAAAACAATATGGGATTATATTGGTCTGCATTTTTTTTTTTTTCACACTTAATATATAGTGCCTAAGACACTTGATGGGAGCTCTGGTAGCGTAGTGCCTAAAACACTTGACTGCTGACCAGAAGGCTGGCGGTTCAAACCCACCAGCCACTCCTCAGAAGGAAGATGGGGCAATCTACTTCCATAGTGATACTGCCTTGGAAACCCAAGGAGGGGTTGCTATGAGTCAGGTCCGACTCCACAGCACATAACAACAACAACAAGACACTTGACAGGAGCTCTGGTAGCATAGTGCCTAAGGCACTTGACTGCTAATCAGAAGGCTGGCAGTTCAAACCCACCAGCCACTCCTAGGAAGGGAGGTTGGGCAACCTACTTCCATAGTGATACTGCCTCTGAAACCCAAGGAAGGGTCGCTGTGAGTCGGGACCAACTCAATGGCACATAACAACAACAACAACAATATGTAATGAACATCTTTCCAGGTCTGTACATATGGATATGGGAGATACTATTATTTGTATTAAATGAGGAAACTGCGGATCAGAAATGAAAGTAACTTGCCCCAGGTCACATAACCAGTACTGAGGCCCATTTACTCCTGAGGGGTATGTGTGTGTATGGATGTGTGTGTGTGTGTGTGTGTGACCCTAAGGCTTTTGAAGGTATGACTTGGTGTTTGGGGCAGGGAAGCCACAGGATCTGAAGAAGTTCCTGCTGCTAGTAAAGCAGTCCAACTGTGGTTCAGGACAGAGAAGTGACTTCCCCAAAGTCATTCAGCAAATCAGCGGGGATCAGACCTTGTCCCCAACATCTAGTTTGGGTGACATCCCAGGAAGCTAGTGCTGCCAGTTCCTGGGCTCTGGAGTGTTTGCCCCCAAGTCCTCTGAAAAGTGATCCTCATCTATAAATAACCAGGTTCACATGTCCCAGCACATTGTGTGGGGGAATAAAGAAATGCCTACAACAGCAACTTGACTATGCCCAAGGTATGTATTTTTACACATGCCCAGATATAGTACATGTACAAATATGCTATTCATAAACTCAGCCCAGTGGTTTGAAAGAGACCATATGCCTTAGTGTAGGGTACTCACATGTGCAGTTAATAAACACACTCTGGCAGAGTGGATGTAAATATTTTTGGAACTGATGGTGAAGACTAGATCCTGAAGCGATTTCCTTGTACTTATGCTGATCTTTTGTTGTTGTCGTTGTTATGTGCCCTTGAGTCAGACCCGTCTCATAGCGACCCCTCTGTGGGTTACCGAGGCGGTATCACTACGGAAGTAGATTGTCCAACCTTCCTTCCAAGGAGTGGCTGGTGGGTTTGAATCGCCAGCCTTCTGGTTAACAGTCAAATGCCTTAGGAGTTCACTATGCTACCAGAGCTCCTATGCTAATTTGTAATAGGGCATAATTTTTCTTCCATGGGAACCAGTAATTGATGAAATCAACATTTCCCAAATTCAAGGCATTCGCAAACATCTTCATCTTTTTGGCCACCCTTATACCATTTATATAATCACTTGCTTAATACTTTTCTTTTTCTTTTTTTTTAAATTCTTTTCTTTAAATCAACTCACTCCTTCATAACTTTAACACATATTAAAAGGGAACATTATCTCACTGCAGTCAATGGAAAACCACCAACACATGCCATAAATAGAAGGTAGCCATACAAATAAACACATAAGCACTGGAATAAAAAAAAAAAAATGTGTACATGAATCCACATGAAACTGTTTTGTTATCACCATTCAGTCACACTTTTAAGAAACATGGAACTAACAGACTTGAATAACGTAGGCTCCCTAGTCCAGCCTTCTGTTCTACCCATTCCCAGGGTTCCTCGTGTCTACCTCCTGTGACCCTTGGCTAGTGTTCCTTTTCCCTGGGTGGATCTCTCAAGGGCTCAGGGTGGGGCCTCCTTGGCCCTCAGGAAACTCAGAGCAGCTGCGTCATTTCTTTTGCGTCCTTGCGTTCCAGCCCTACACTTGGCCTTTTGGAGGTGAGGGTAGCAGGCTGAGGCTTGGACTTGCAAAAAGAGTAATCCCTTACTTTTCAATAGAGGTTGATTTCATTCTGTAAGTAGTTATTTAATTTTATTTGAAACTTGAATTTATTTTTAAGTGATAAAATATACCAACTTTACAGAAAGGAAAAAAAAGTCACCTACCAGCTGAACATATCTATGACCATATTGAGTGTTCTCTTCCAGTCTTTTAAAATATGTATATGGTTTACACCATTGTAAACATGTGCTCAGAGCTTACAGTTCATAAATCGTGTTTATGTCCATTAGGTGCATGAGCCACATAACACATTAGGAGAGTTAGGAATATGGATAGGCAGGGCAGGAAGGATGTAACCCATTTTTCAGATGAGAAGCCTGATGCCCAGACATGTGATGTCACTTGCTAAAACCAGATAGATTGGAACCAGTTCTTTCTCCACATACTCACAGCTGTGTCTGTGTTAGAGCCAGAGTTATAAAATAAAGTATACAAGGGCACATACTTTGCTGTTTTAATTTTAGTATATTTCCAAATTAATGCATATTCATTGTAAAGAAAAACAACAACAAATAAGAGTTCCCAGTAATCCCAATGCCAAAGAAAACCCCCAGGAATTATATGAGCTTTATCACCCCTTGACTTCTGTGCATATCCTAACACATATCATTTCTTTCTTTTCTACAACTGGAATTGCTTCATGAACAGTGTGACTTTTTTTTTCCCCCACTAACCAATGTATCTTAGACATCTTTCCATGGATAGAATTCTAAAAACACATTTCAACAAAACAGAAAAGATTTTAGATGAACACTTAACAGCAGTTCCACCGCTGCTTCTGTTGACTGTGGCAACAGTACCACGTCCGGGGAAAGGTATTCATTTATTCATTCATCAGTGGTTCATTCATTCATTAAATATACATAATTAAGGATATATTGCTTGTCAAAGGAGATATTAGCCTGGGTACCTAGAGCACAATTTCCCTAGAAAGACCAGGGAACTTTGGGTTTAGGAAGTGTGGGCAGCTCCTGGTGGGGTCAAGTTAGCAAAACTGAGACAGGGGGAGGGGAGAAAGAAAGGTCCTGGAGCCAGAGTATATGAGGAGGCAGAGGCCTGGGGTGGGCGTGGAAGAACCGTGTTTCCCACATGGTCTTGCTTGTCCTTCCCTACCTGACCTTCCCTATCAATTTTTCCATGACAGTAGGCTGAGTCCTGGCCCAGGATTTTACCTCCAACTACCCTTGCCTCCCCATCCCCTTCTCCCACTCTGACCCAAACACAGATGTGGCCAAATCCATAAGGGCAGTCACTGGGGCTAAAGGTAAGAGGCTGCAGGCAGAGGTGGGTTTGTCTGTGGGATGAAGTGATACAGGTTTATTTTTTTCCTCTAAATCCTTGTCAAGCCACAGCAGGTTTCTGGGCCTGTGGCTGGAATTTTCAGCACCCTTCCTCCCACAGGAGACCCTGTGTGGTGCAAATGGTTAATATACTCAGCTGCTAGCAGAAGGGTTGGAAGTTCAGCAGAAGGGTTGGAAGTTCAAGTACACCCAGTGGCACCTTGGAAGAAAGGCCTGACGATGTACTTCTGAAAAATCGCCATTGAAAACCCAATGGAGCAGAGTTCTTACTCTGCCCATCTAGGATTGCCATGAGTTGGAGTTAACTCAACAGCAACTGTCTTTTTCTGTTTTCTTCCCTCTCCCAACCCTTGAGCTAGTTCTCATGTTTAGATTACCTCGTACTTAGATGGGGAAGAACCTGGTTTCCCCATTAGCTAAGGGATTTCCACCAAGCATACAACCGCCTCATTTCCTCTCTGACCATGCCCAGCACTCCCTCCTGAGGCCAGCACCATTTGCTTTATTGAGAAGGTAGGACTCAACCTGGAGCTGATTCTACAGGGATCACAGTCAGTAGACTCAGCATAACTTTTCCAAAATTCATCCATGTAATAGCATGTATCAGAACTTCGTTTCTCTTTATGGTTAAGAATGTGGTATGTTCATTGTATGGACATACCACATTTTGTTTATCCATTCATCTGTTAATGGACTCTTGGGTTGTTTCCACCTTTTGGCTCTTGTATATAGTGCTACAATGAACATTGGTGTACGAGTATCTGTTTGAGTCCCGACTTTCAAGTCTTTGGGGTGTATACCTAGGAGTGGAATTGCTGGGTTATATGGTAATTCTATGCTTAACTTTCTGAGGAATGGCCAAACTGTTTTCCACAGTGGCTGTACCACTTTATTATTACCCTCTAGCAATGGATGAGGGAGCTCTGGTAGCATAGTGGCTAAGACACTTGCCTGCTAACCAGACGGCTGGCGGTTCAAACCCACCAGCCACTCCTCGGAAGGAAGGTTGGGCAATCCTACTTCCGTAGTGATACTGCCTCGGAAACCCAAGGAGGGGTCGCTATGAGTCGGGGCCGACTCGACGGCACATAACAACAACAACAAGCAATGGATGAAGGAGCTCTGGTGGGGTAGTGGATAAGGCATTTGGCTGCTAACCAAGAGGTCAGCAGTTCAAAACCACTAGACGCTCTGTGGAAGAAAGATGGGGCAATCTACTTCTGTAAAGATTTACAGCCTCAGAAACCCAATGGGGGTCACTATGAGTCAGAATCGACTTGATGGCAGTGAGTTTTTTGTTGTTGTTGTTTTGTTTTTTAGCAATGGATGAGGGTTCCCATTTCTCTTCATGCCTCCTTTTAACAGCTGCCTAGCATTCCATTGTATGAATGTACCAAAAACGATTTAGCCAGTGCCCACCCTACAGATGGACACTTGGGTTGTTTCCAGTCCTTTGCTATTACATACAATGCCAAAGTATCATTAAACATACATTTTTGCACACATATATCAAAGTATCTGTGGGATAGAGTCCTAGCAATAGCTATTGCTAAGTGCGGTTTCTTTTTCTTTTTAATATTTTGTATGCACAACCAAAATACATTCATTGTCAGGTACAGTTTTGATTTTGAGGTCTCACCAACTTGTTCCTGAATGAGGATTCATCAGTTGACATGGCCATCAACAAAGGAGGAAAGCCCGTCCCCTCTCCCTTCTTTTGCGTGTGTTACCAAACCTTCTGACCAGCTGCCTATCTGATAGGTGAAAATGGTTATTTTGTAGTTTTAATTTGCATTTCTTTTATTATGAGTGAGGTTTGAAAGTGAAACGCTGTAGGTATTTCAGAATTGAGTGGGAGATAGTCCCAGGACAGTTTGGAATTCCACCCTGCCCTCAGGACCCTGTGTATCTCACAGCTGCCCTCTTCCCCTCCTCCAAGGCTCATCACCCTTCCCAATGGCGTCCTCCAGATCCTGGATGTTCAAGAGAGCGATGCAGGCTCCTACCGCTGCGTGGCCACCAACTCAGCCCGCCAGCGCTTCAGCCAGGAGGCTGTACTCAGCGTGGCACGCAGAGGTAAGGGACAGGGGAAGGACTAGAGGGGTCTGGGTGTTTCTTGAGACTGCCACCTGAGAATTGGGATGGGCCTGAAGAAGCCCCTGCATTTAAGTAGGTGAAAATATATCAAGATATCGGCCCTCTTTGAGGCTAATGAGGTAAAGAGGTATTAGTCCCATTGGAGAGGTGAGGCAAGGAAGCCCAGTGGGGGCAAGTGCCACCCAGCAAGTAGGGGATAGAAAGGGCTAGAACCCAAGCCTCAGGAATCTCAGCCCAGGGCTCCTCCCTTCCTGAGGAGCCTCTGCTCCCTTGGGTTAGGAAGAACATCCAAGGCTGGGCACAGGAGTGGGGAGGGGAAGTATCTGACAGAGGGGTGTCAATGCCCTGAAGCCTTTTCTCTACAGCCCCTCTGTGTCCAGAGGGTCCCAGACATTAGGGGATTCTCCCCTGGATGCCAGCTATGCAGTGCGACCCAAGCCTCCACAGCCTAGGGCTCCAGTCCTTTTCTCCATTTTGCTGACAAGCTGCTGTCCCAGTGTGATGGAGTAGGAAGGGCTCAGGTTTTGAGGTCAGAAAGACCTGGTTTGAATCCTGACTTCTCTACTCACCATCTGTACGACTCTGAGCTCTTTATCAAGTGTCCAGTCCCCAGGTGGTTGTGAGAATATCTGAAATAAGAGTATAAAGTTCCTGGCACCCAGCAGCTGTTCAACAGACTTTACCTCAGCCCTCCCAGAAGGGCCCCTCGTTGGCCTCCCTCTGCCACGGCATCCTTCTATTCTCTCACCTGGGGATTTCTGACCACTGAGGCTCTCCTGAGCCTAGAGGAGCTCTGCTGCCATCTGCTGGACAAAGTATTCACCATGCTGCCCTTTGAGCCTAAGCCACCCCCAATTTTCCTCACAGAAATTAAGGGCCTTTGACAACGGGCTCTTGCAGTCACATAGCACATTAATGACGGTGATGGAACTAGGAACTATGGCTATTGACTTCAAGTCCAGGGCTCTATCCATGATCCTGATGGTCCTCTGCCTGGCGGGTGGGTTAGATTTGGGATTAAAGAATGGTGTCAGGTATAGTCTGTCTGGTCATTTTTTTTATGCTGAATGGGAGGTCAGGTTGTTCTCCTCTGGCTCTAAGAGAAAGGGCTCTGAGTTCCAATTCCAGCTCTACCGAACTATCTGGTTATGTGACCCTAGGTCTCACTTTCCCCATCTGTCAAATTGCCATCAAATCTATCAACTCTCCCATTGCTCTCCTTGCCCACCTGCCTCACTAGGGTACAGTGAGCATCAGTTGAGGCATGGCATGTGGAGACACAGAATGTTAAGACTGTCTGCTGGCCTGCCTTCTCTCCAGGGTCTCTTGCGTCTACCAGGGAGCAGGACGTGGTAATTGTGGCAGCCCCGGAGAACACCACAGTGGTGTCTGGTCAGAGTGTGGTGATGGAATGTGTGGCCTCGGCTGACCCCACCCCTTTTGTGTCCTGGGTCCGACAGGGTGAGTGAAGGGGCAGAAGGTGGGAGGGCATAGGAAGGGAAGGGTGTGGAACCCCACATACCACCACCACCCCAAGTTAGGGAGCTATAGAGGGGACCACTCTGGTGAACACTGACTTTCTGATATGTCAGGAACCCCTCTCCCAGGACTAAGCGTGGCCAGACAACAAGGTTTGAGGCTGCTCAGGAACAAGCTTAATCATCCCACCTGTGTAGCACTTTTCTTTTACAAAGCACTTGGAGTCTACCATTCACAAAATCATTCTTGAGACCCTGAACAGGGCGGGCACTGTGCTAGGTTTTCCATCTTACTTATTTCTGTTCCTCACAACAGTGTTGCAAGTGAGTGAGTGAGAGCTAGGAGGGTGTCTCACAGCCAGCAAGTCAGGTGGAATCAGGATTCCAATGGTGTTCTGTTCAACTACAAAGCTGGTGCTCACGCTCCAGCCTTTGTGGGCCTGGCATCGTGCTGGGCCCAGTGAATAAAATACACAGATGAGAAAGATACACATGCTACCTTCCTAACACATAGTCTCACCAAGGGAGATAAAGCACATATCCAGGAGGAGAGGTTTGACAGTATCAGGCAGTGAGTGATAAGTGCCAAGTGGGACTGAGTTACTGGAGATGCTATCAGGGTAACAAGAGCACCAGGCCAAATACTACTTTGCATTCTGCTGAGCATGTCACACCCACTCTCCTGTCAGAGCCTCCCGAGAGCCCTTTGAGTGCAGGGACCAGGACGATTTTTCCCAGATGAGGCAGATGACAGAGCCACAACCCAAACTTTAGAGCCTATTATGTTTCCGATACACCACTCCCTACAGTCCTGTCAGAAAGGAAGACGAGGATTATTTTTGTTTCTGTTTGTCCATAGGAAGTAACTTGTCCCAAGTTAAGGTCCCTGGGTAGTACAAGTGGTTTGTGCTAGACTACTAATGCAAAGGTTGGCCGTTCAAACCTACTCAGTGATGCCATGGAAGAAAGTCCTGGAGGCTTTGTGTAACAATTGCAGGTTGGAGACTTCTATAACAATTACAGCCAACAAAACAATACAGAGCAGTCCTCTGTTATACATGGGGTTGCCATGAGTTGAAATCAACTTGATGATATCAAGTTTGGTTTTTAGCTTTGTCCCAAGTTAATGGCAGAAGTAGGTCTTGAACCCTCTCTTTGCCCTTCTTCCCTGCCTCATTCTCTTTCCTCAGCCTCCTTTTTATAAGTCTGTCACACATTCACACATGACCTACTTTGGTCATGTTGTCAGAAGGGACCATTCCCCGGAGGAAATCATGCTTGGTAAAGTGGAGGGTCAGTGAAAAAGGGGAAGACCCTCAATGAGACTGACAGTGGCTGCAATGATGGGCTCAGGCATAGCAAGGAGTGTGAGGATGGTGCAGGACTGGGCAGTGTTTCATTCTGTTCTACATAGGGTCGCTGTGAGTTGGAGCTGACTTGATGGCACCTAACAACAACAACATCACACATTCAAAAGAGAATATATATAATAAATATCTACAGTTTAAAGAAAATAATAGCTGAACAATTAATACCCACCACTAGTTGATGAAATAGAAGAATGCTATTATCTTTGTACCTTCCTGACCTATCTCCCTCATGGGAATTGTGACACTTGCCTAGTTAGTGGGATCCCAGGGGCCAGCAGGGCCCTCCCACCATTATTGGGGTAAGCCTAGAGTGTCACCTAGAAGTCCTAATATCAATGTTTTTCAAATCCAGACTGTGTGTCAGAATCACCCGGGGAGCTTATTAAAACTCCAGGCTCCCTGCCTTCTTCCCCAGAGAGTTGTGACCCAGGAATCTCAATGTTTAACAATTGCCCTAGGTCCTTGCTTGGGCCTGCCACCTAGGAGGGCTAGTTAGAAATGCAGAATCTCAGGCCCTGCCCGAGGCCTCTCCATCTTAACAAGATCCCCTGGGATTCTGTGATTTGTGTGTGTCATAGGATTAGAGAATTGCTCTCCCAGACAGTCCTGACACCTGAGGTCCTAGGAACTCACTTGGAGAAACTTTGCTAACAGCCCTCCTGTATCAAACCAAAAACCAAACCCACTAGTTTTCTGAGTCAGTGACCCGATAGGGCAGAGTAAAACTGCCCCCATAGGGTTTCCAAGCCTGGTGGGTTTGAACCACTAACCTTTCAGTTAGCAAGCAAGCACTCTAATCACTGTACCATGAGGGCTCCCTGGATAACCAAAAAAAAAAAAACAAAAAAAAAACAAACCAGCCACTGCTAATGAATCAATTCCAATTCATAGCAACCCTGTAGGGCAGAGTAGAACTGCCCTATAGGATTTCCAAGGCTATAAATCTTTACAAAAACAGATTGCTTCATTAGTCTCTCATGGAGCAGCTGGTGGGTTTGAACCACTGACCTTTTGGTTAGCAATTCTGGGAAAGAGAACTGGAAGAAGACTGTATTCTTGATCTCAGGCATTGTTCCCCTTCTAGGACCTTACTCCATTCAGTTAAGGAAGGTCAGCAAATTTTTTTTTTTCCTCTAACGGCAAAAGCCATACATATTCATTATAGAAAACTAGGAAGAAACAGAAGCCAGAAAACAACCTACCACCCAGAGATAAAAATTGTTAATATACAAGCGTATTTTCTTCCCAGTTTTTAAAATGCATAGACATATTTTCCCTTAAAATCGAAAGCATACTATATTTACAGTTCTGAATCTTATTTTCATCCAACAGTATATCATAAATATATCTCCATCTTTAAAACTTCTTTAAAAATTAATTTTAAGGACTGTGTAATGTTCTGTTTGATGTTGGATTTTTAAGCCCTCTCCAGTTGTCCACTAATCCAGTTAATGCTGCAGTGATGTCCTTGTTCAGAAATTCTTGCCTGTAATTCTGATTACAGGTTTCCACAAGTGAAATCAACTGGTTTCAAGATCAAGGGGGGAACTCCTTGCACCCTCATAAGCAGTGCATATTAATGCTTTAAAAATGTTCCTGATTTGATTAATGAAAAATTGTACCTATGCTTTGATTTCTTTGATTACTAGTGAGATGAACAGTTTTGTATTTCTCAGCCATCTGTATTTCTTTTCTGGATTTTCTGTTCATGTCCAGAAGGCAGGGGTTCTTAAAATTTTTTTCATTTTACATCAAGATAAAGGTTCCTGCACATATTTAAATCTTAGGCCCTGGCCAGCTCTTACCAGCCATACCTTCCTCATGGTACTGGGCTGAGGACAAGGGGAAGGAGTGTGTCCTTCTGGAGAGAAATAAATTTAACAGTAATGATAAAGGAGCTCTGGTGGCGTAGTGGCTAAGGCATTTGACTGCTAACCAGAAGGCTGGCGGTTCAAACCCACCAGCCACTCCTAGGAAGGAAGGTTGGGCAATGTACTTCTGCAGAGGTATGGCCTCGGAAACCCAAGGAGGGGTGACTGTAAGTCAGTCGAACTGACTTGATGGTAGTGAGTTTGGAGGAGATATATATATATATATATATATTTATACACATATACATACAGAGAGAGAGAGAGAGAGAGAGCGAGAGCGCACATATTGTATGCTTGGCACAGTGTCAAAGGTTGTCAAACATTCTTTCCACCCTCACAGCAGCTCTTCTTGCTAGTGACTATCTCCCATTCTACAGAGACACTGAGGTTTAGGAAAGTCTCAGGCTAGGGAGTGGAGAAACCAAGATTCCAACCCCGGACTGTTGTGTTTACTTTTCCTGGGTGTAGAGGGACCCCGAATTCCGAAAAGTGGATGGAAAGGCAGTCTCTAGCGCCACCCACCTCCAGCGTGTCCCTCCCCCTTCCAGATGGGAAGCCCATTTCCACAGACGTCATCGTCCTGGGCCGCACGAACCTACTAATCTCCAGCGCGCAGCCCCGGCACTCTGGCGTCTATGTCTGCCGCGCCAACAAGCCCCGAACCCGTGACTTCGCTACCGCAGCTGCAGAGCTCCGCGTGCTGGGTGAGGCAGGGCGGTCAGAAGGGGGTACTGAGGCGTGAAGCTGTAGGGGAGACGTTATTGGGGTTTGTTAGCTGGAGCTGAGAGGTGAATACGGAGGAGGATAAGTGTTAGGGAGGAGGAACTCTTGGGGAAGTCCTTAGTGGAAGGGGGCCATGAAGGAAGTTGTTGTTATGTGCAGTCCAGTCGGACCGACTCATAGTGACCCCTCCTTGGGTTGCCGAGGCATTATCACTACGGAAGTAGATTGCCCCATCCTCCTCCCGAGGAGTGGCTGGTGGGTTTGAACCGCCAGCCGTCTGGTTAGCAGTCAGGTGCTTTAGGCACTTTGCTACCAGAGCTCCCCTGAAGGAAGTGGAGAAGGATAATTGGGGGAGGAGAAATGGTGGGAAGAGATTGGAGGATGGCGTGGAGGGGGGAGTTGAGTCAAGGAGGGAAGATAAGGGTGATATAGGGCATGGCTTGGGTGATTGGGGAGTAAGGAGGCGTTGTCTGGACGGGACTGAGATATTGGGGAAAGAAACCATGGTCAGGGTGGGATCTAGGTAGGGGGAAGGGTGGGACTGTAGTGGTGATTGGGGGAGATAATGGAATAGCCTGGGCAGTACTAAGAAGACGAGGATGGGGTTTGCTCTGGGCTGGGATAACTAGGGGGAGAGGGGTCAATCTGGGAGGTGTGGGAGTCATTGGAGGGGAGGAGAGAAAGGTGTAAACTGAGGAAGTGGGTTAGATCCAACTGGAACTGGGGTAGTATTTCGGGGAGGCAGAGAAGGCCTGGGGACTATTGGAGTGGAAGATTGGCGGGAACTAGAGTATATTGGGGAGAGGTGAATCGGAGAGGATAGAGTGGAAGGGGAAGTGCGGGGCTCCTGGTGGTTGGAGCCCCGCAGTCAGCGACACGCCCCCCCTCCCCAGCGGCCCCCGCCATCTCTCAGGCTCCGGAAGCGCTGTCCCGGACGCGGGCAAGCACAGCGCGCTTCGTTTGCCGCGCGTCTGGAGAGCCGCGGCCCGCGCTGCGCTGGCTGCACAACGGGGCGCCGCTGCGGCCCAACGGGCGCGTCAAGGTGCAGGGTGGCGGCGGCAGCTTGGTCATCACACAGATCGGCCTGCAGGACGCCGGCTACTACCAGTGTGTGGCCGAGAACGGCGTAGGGACGGCGTGCGCCGCAGCGCCCCTGGCTGTGGTGGTGCGTGAAGGGTTGCCCAGCGCGCCCACGCGTGTCACGGCCACGCCGCTGAGCAGCTCCGCGGTGTTAGTGGCCTGGGAGCGGCCTGAGCTGCACAGCGAGCAGATAATCGGCTTCTCCCTCCACTACCAGAAGGCACGGGGTATGATGCCGGGGAAAGTGGGAGCTGGGGAAGGATTTGGGTTGAGTGACTGAAGGGTTGCCTCCTAGGTACCTCTGGAGATGGAATGGGATGGGGTGGGAGCCCAGGAGAGACACACGTAGATATAGATTAAGCAGTGTTCTTCGGCCTGGTGCTGGAAGGATCTCTGTGTGGCATATTTTCTTTTAAGTCATGTTTGTTAGGAGAGAGGAGGAAGAAGATGCATCTCCCAGGAAAAGTGCCTTGGAAGGTCAGGAGCCACCTCCAATCCCTGCTTTCTAATTTCAGTAGGAGCCACTTTAATTAGAGGTCAGAAAGAACTTCCTAACCAGCAGAGGAATTAATACAATGAGACTAGAAGCCAGGGGAGTTTATATGCTCTAGTTCAGGAGATTATCTGGGATGATTTAGCTATAAACAAAGTACTCCCGAGACTGGGACAATCTAAGGGATACCTAGAAAGCTTCCAACTAGCTGGTGCCTGGGGTTGCCCCATGACAGTCTCCTTGTCCCCTGTGTCACCATCCCAGGCATGGACAATGTGGAGTACCAGTTTGCAGTGAACAATGACACCACAGAGCTACAAGTTCGAGACCTGGAGCCCAACACTGACTATGAGTTCTATGTGGTTGCCTACTCCCAGCTGGGGGCCAGCCGTACTTCAGCCCCAGTGCTGGTCCACACACTGGATGACGGTAGGGGCTCTGAACCTGCAACTGTGAGTGAGGACCCAGAGAATCCCACGGGGATAGTATCTCTGGTTTCTCTTTATACCAAGGTGCTTTTTACCTGCCTTGTGTCATATTTTGTGCCCTTAAGGGGGTGAGTAGGGATTCTTCTTCCCAGTTCACACTGGGGCTGAGAATGCAAAATGAGAGTGACTTGCCCAGGGTCAGTATCACACCTGGGAGTTGAGCCTAGGTCTTGTGCTTCCCTGTATCATACAGCCCGTCTCCTCACTACCCATGTACTCACCTAGTCAGGGTAGAGGCCTGTGACATTACACATTGTATGTGGAAGATTGTGCCCTAAACCTTGCTCTAGCTCCAGGTTGAGAGGAATACCTTCCTCATATAAGCAATACCACACAAGGACTTTTGGAATCTCTAGGGCCCAGTCCCCTTACCCTCCAGCTCGGGCTTTCCAGAGAAGTCCCTACTGCTCCCTCAGATCCTGGCCCTGGCCCTGCTTCTGACTTGCTGTGTGACCTGGACCAATGTCTGACCACTTCTGGGACTCACCTTCCACATCCAGGGCTCACGCTGATGTTCTCTGTCTTAGTCCCCAGCACAGCACCCCAGCTCTCCCTGTCCAGTCCCAACCCCTCGGACATCAGGGTGGCGTGGCTACCTCTGCCTCCTGGCTTGAGCAATGGGCACGTGGTGAAGTACAAGATAGAGTACGGTTTGGGAAAGGAAGGTGAGTGGGGACAAGATGCAGGCATCACATGATTGAGAATCATTCATGCGAAGGGTTAGCTAGAGCAGCTGGATCCCTGAGCTGAGTGAGGGGAGTCCAAAGAAATTAAGCAGAGGGTGGAGAGGTGCACCTGGGAAGATGGGCTGGGAATGGGGCCATCAGGAGTGACAAGGGAAGGCAAAGACTGCTAGCCCATGCCCACCTCCTCTACAGTTGCACTTTATAACCCTGCTTCAGTTTCCTTGTGTGAAATGAAACAGGTAGCCTAGGTAATCCACAAAATCTCTTAGCTCAAAAGACATATGAGGAGGTGGGAAGTGTGCTTGTGGGATTGTAGGAAATGGGCATTGAGGAGGAAGTGTTAGGGCAGACACAAGTAATCTAGCGGAGCTTGTATGAAAGGGATAGAGAGTTGGGAAAAGGAAGGTAGACAGAGGCCCAGGGTGAGGGTGGGTGGGTGAGGTCTTAGGTTGGTTATTAGAGCTCTGGGAGGCAGATGGTACCTGAAGGCCTTCACAGCCAACCCCTTGTGCTTTCACCCTGGTGTGTCAGGAGGGAGGGGGTTCTTAATACCTCACAGGGAAGAAGGGAGAGTGTGATGTGATTCTTCCCACTCTGGCTGAGCCGCCTGCATCAGCCAGAGTTGGAGACCCAGGAGTCCAGCCCCCAGAGCTGTGGTGTCTGCCCAGGTACTGAGTGGTCAGTGGTGAGAGGGCCTCAGAGGAACCAGGATCTGAGATGAGGAGTTGGTATAGGGGCACTTGGGAGCCATAGTTCTTAGGTGGCCACCCAGCAGCCCCTTTCCTGTCCCAGCAGATCAGATTTTCTCCACCGAGGTGCCAGGCAATGAGACACAGCTTACGCTGAACTCACTTCAGCCCAATAAGGTGTACCGAGTACGGATCTCTGCTGGCACAGGTGCAGGCTATGGAGCTCCCTCCCAGTGGACCCAGCACAGGATGCCCAGCGTGCACAACCAGAGCCACGGTACGGGGTTCTGGGGGACGAGACGAGTGATGTGACTGACTGGGTATGTGTGTTTATGTGTGCCCTTGGAACCCACCTCCCCGCACCCCTTCCACCCAAGGGCTCCTCACTGCTTACCAGGTAAAAGAGGCTGGGACACAGAGGACAGTAGCCAGCTCAAGTCTCCCTTCTACCCATTGTGTGACTTTGGACAAACCAATCACAACTCTGAGTCTCTGTCTACTTCAAGAGGTGGAGTAAAGATTAGTAATGCAATGTAAACAAAGTGCTTAGTACATAATAAGAGCCCATTAGAGAATAGCTGCTGCAATCATTATGATTATTGTTTTTGTTGAGAGGCCAGGTAATAGAATGATTAAATACAGGAGGTTGATAATGAATACAAAACTTGGTGCATATAGTACCTGTGGCCTTGGGCAAGTTACTTAACTTCTCTGAGCCTCAGTTTTCTTATCTGTCAAATGGAAATAATAGTATTTTAGTTCTTTTATAGAGTTGTGAAAATATAGTTAAAACACGTAGACAAAGTGGTCAAGACAGAGTGCTCAGAACAGTGGCTGGCATTAGCAAGCTCCCCACTCTGGCTCTACACCTCCTCCCAGTCTCATCAACCCCTGAAACCCCGGTTGCCTGCCAGTATCCATACACCCGTTCATTCTGTTTAAATAGAGCCCTGCTCTGTGCTGGGTACCAGCAGTCTGCCCCAGGTGCTCTTTGTCAATGCCCAAGAGACAATGTTGCATCACCAGCACTCAGCGCCTGTACACTTTAAACCTGATCCCATTTCAGGTCTGTGAATGGTGATGGATTGGGAGAACACTGGCAAGGCTCTCACTGTATGAATGTCTTCCTGCTTTTTGTTTTCTCCTGCCTCCTCCCTCCTTCCATCCCTGTCCCCTTTCCTGTCCTCTCCCATTCTCTTCATCTTCTTTGCCATCCCGCTGGTCTGCCTGCAGTCCCCTTCGCCCCTGCAGAGTTGAAGGTGCGGGCCAGGATGGAGTCCCTGGTTGTGTCGTGGCAGCCGCCCCCTCACCCTGCCCAGATCTCTGGCTACAAACTGTACTGGCGGGAGGTGGGGGCTGAAGAGGAGGCCAATGGTGAGAGCCCCCCAGGGGGCCGTGGAGACCAGGCTTGGGATGTAGGGCCTGTCCGGCTCAAGAAGAAAGTGAAGCAGTATGAATTGACCCAGCTAGGTGAGGAGGGTTTGGGGGGTGGGAAAGGCAGACAAAGGGGCAAGCTAAGTGCAGGAAGTCTCTTTAGGGGTGGGGGAGTGATCCCAGAGGTACCTCTAGCCAGGTGAGTGACCCGTGACCTTCCCCAGTTCCTGGCCGCCTGTATGAGGTGAAGCTTGTGGCATTCAACAAACATGAGGATGGCTACGCAGCAGTGTGGAAGGGCAAGACAGAGAAGGCTCCTACCCCAGGTGAGTATGGGGCAGGGTGACCAGGGTGGGCACAGCTCCAGACTAGGCATCTGTGTGCTACTTCTCTTCCCTTTCCTCTGAGGCAATCTGGTAGCCTCAGACCTACCCTCAGACCTATTCTCCTATGATCTGTGATCCTCTTGTAGCTCCAGATAGCCTCTGTCATAGGGAGAAGCTCCCTGTAAAGTTTGTGCAATATCTTTTAGGCCTGCTACTGTGGGTTCACTATCCATGAGCAGATGCTAATTTAAAAGGTTTGGACAGAGAGAAGCCCCATGGTTGATCAGTGACTCCTGACCTCAAGTTTGGCCTTAAAACACATTCAGCAATATCACATTATCAGATTTCACTCAACTCTGGATGATAACCAGGGAAAGTGTCCCTATGTGACCAACTGGGACATTGAGGCTCAGAGTGGTAAAGGGACTCATCCAAGGGCACATGGAGCCGAAACTAGAACCAGGATTCCTGGCTTCCAGGCAGAAGTCTTTCCACTGCAATATGTGGCTCATGGCCCTGTATTGAACAGCTTGGTTGACCGTCAAGATACTTCCTCACCCCTGACTCCCCAAGCTGACTTTCAACTGTGTGGCTTAGTGGAAAGAGCATTTAACCATGAGCCAAGAAACCTGGGTTCTAATTCCAGTTTGTTCATTCATTCATTCAGCAAATATTTACTGAGTGTCTACTACGTGCCAGCTCTGTTCTGGGAATTTAGTGGTGAACAACACAAATAAGGTACCTGCTCTCATGGAGTTTATTTTATTTTATGTGTATGTAATAAATACTTATCATATAGTACTTTATGTATGCCAGACACTTTTCTGTCTTCTTTACAAATACTAACTAATTTATTCCTCATAACAACCCTATGAGGTAGGTACTATTATCAGCCCCACTTTATAGACAAGGGATGGGGGCACAGATTAAGTAACTTGTTTAGCATTACACAAGTGGCAGAGCTGGAATTGGAACCAAGGCAGTCTGGCTCCAGAGTCTGTCCTCTTAACTGCCATGATTTGCTACTTCTATCTGTCACATTCTTACATACCAGGGTTCCATGGTCTGTTATATGTATGACCTTGGCAAAAATCACTTTAACTTGTGGGAACCTCAGTTTCCTCATCTGTGATGTGGGAAAGATGCCACCAATTCACAGGATCAAAAGAGACAGAGTAAAACTGTTAACCACTATACATGTTTGAGGACGAATGTCCTCTCTCCCTTTCCTACATTCTAATGTTCACCTTCCAGACCTGCCCATCCAGAGGGGGCCACCCTTGCCACCTGCCCATGTCCATGCAGAATCAAACAGCTCCACATCCATTTGGCTTCGGTGGAAAAAGCCGGACTTCACCACAGTCAAGATTGTCAACTACACAGTGCGCTTCAGCCCCTGGGGACTCAGGAATGCCTCCCTGGTCACTTATTATACCAGGTGGGAGAGAGAGGCTGATGCTATAAAAGGGAAGGAACAGATGGAGGTAGGGGGCAGGGCAGCAGATGGTGAGGGGGTCATTGCACTGCTTACCTGTTAACACTCGGGGCACATCGAGGGTCTGCACAGGGTCCACTTCATTACTGTCTGGCCTGATAGTGACACGTAGAAAAGGCAGGTCCGTTTATCCCATCCCCTCACAATAGAGCCTTCTACTTAAGCCTTGGAGAGTGAGATGCAAGACAGACCTATTTCTTCAACCTCAGGGAGCTCCCAGTGTGATGGGGATAAGACAACCCACCCCTGCCCTCAGAGAGTCCCTAGTCAGATGGCAAGACAGAGCCCCTGCCCTGAGGAGCTGCTGTTTTGGCAGAAGAAACAAATTGCTTAAAAAGCAAAAGAAATATATAGCTACAGCTAAAGCAAGATTAAGCCAAGGGAAAGATGAATCAGAAATGGTTCCTTGGGTGGAAAATAACTTTCCTGGAGGAAGGGCCTGGCTTTGTGATTAGACGTGGAACCAGTGATACCAGGGCGACCCATATATCCAGACGTCTCTGTAAGTTCTCTGAGTAGGTATGTGTGCCCTCATGCCAGGGAACAGCTATGCTTTCCAGGATTGGGCCTGAAGCTGGGGTTGGGGCCAGGGCAGTAGATTTGGAGCAGCTTACTCTGCTGGATCAGTAGGCCTGAAAGTCACCATTTCTTGCCTCAACAGCTCTGGCGAAGACATTCTCATTGGCGGGCTAAAGCCATTCACCAAATATGAGTTTGCAGTACAGTCTCATGGTGTGGACATGGATGGGCCTTTTGGCTCTGTGGTGGAGCGCTCCACCCTGCCTGACCGTGAGTGGAACTTTGGCCTCCTGGCCACCAACCCATCTTTACCCAACTTCTCCCCGCAGCGTCCCTCTTTTCTGAAACCTTAGAACCTATAAGTGTCAATCATTTGCTTTGCACATATATGGGACAGTCCTTGTGCTGGTCTTAACCATTTACCTGCAAACATAGTGAGGTAGGATTTAGGTGAATGACTTCTTAAGAGGCCGAGGCAAGACCCCTCTAACACTGATGAGGCCAGGTGGTGGAGGCAGAATTCTTGGCTTCTCATTCTGATCCCCATCCTGCCCCTGACACACCGTGAGACTCTGGGCTGGTGCCTTCCCCACCCAGGGCCTCATCTGTAAAAGGAGAAGATAGGACCATTCAATCTGCAAATCTGTCTGTTGGATCCATAAGAACCATCCAGAAATGACATTTCAGGACAGATAGAATTTTCTTCTCACAGCAGAAGCTCTTTGGTTCAGCTGGCCTTAAGGCTGTTTACCTTCCCAATCAACAGGAGACTTTTGTCCTCTGTCCCAGGATCTGAAATAGGAAGATGTGTGTGGAATGGAAAGCCCTTCAGCTCTCATGAATTTAATTTTTTAAAAAATACCTCTCCTCCTTACTTATAACTATCTCGTTATCCAACATTTGTGTTTACAACAACAGTAAAAAGTCCGCTATCCTATTTTGTGCATTAACAATGTACATCTGGCAGTAACAATCACGAGCTGTGAAGAGAGAGTGACGCTGGTTGTGATGCTTAAGGTTATGTGTCAACTGTCAGGGCCCTTAGTCTCAGTAGCTTGGCCATTATATCATGATGCAATGTGTCAATTATGTAATGATGTAGTCATTTTCCACTTTGTGATCTGATGTGGGCATCTTCCATTGTTGCATAATGACCTGGTCCTTGGAACCTAACTATGTCAATAAGTGAAGAGTTGTAGGATTACAAATTGTTTCTCACCTACCTGTAACCTCAGTTACAGCTTTAAAACTGCATGGGGACTTTCCTGATGCTTTCTCAGAGGAAGCTTTATGTCATTGGATCCCCATCTCAACTGTTGGTGCTACAGAGGGGGGATGCTCTTCTCCTTTTGCAGATGGGGAGCTGGGAGCCTGAGAAGTGGAAAGTCACCTGGGGTCACAGAGGTTCCTGGCGGCCCATGCTGTGACTATTATGCCTTAGAACCCTAGGACCCCATCACACTCTTAAAGATCGGAATCCTTTCCCTTCTTATCACTTAGAGTCCCTAACTCTCACTGTTCTCATCCATCTCCCCTTCCCACCTTCCAGGATTAGTTTCTCTTTTAAAATAAAACACAGACCTTTTTACAATGGTAATTCTCAAACTGAGGTTCTCGTGATTCTGGGAGCCTGTGGCTGGGGTAGGCATGTAGACAAAAGCTACATAGGACAGCTTCATGTACAACCACTTTTACTTGTAAATTTTCTGGGAAAAATTGGAGTTTGAAATCCAAAATAATTGTAAATGTTATTTTAATGTTACACTTTAGTAAGGAATAGGTGCAGACATAGCACGAGAGTTAAAAGGAAAAGGTAAGCCTTCCAAATATTTTTGAGCTGTGCCCTGCAAGTCCCTACGATACTGGGACGGTCTCTTCAACCCTTAAAAGCATTTAGGTATAGAAGTTTGAGGAGCTGTGCTCCAAGGATTGGGCAGCGCTGAGTGGAATAGGGCTTCTGAGAGAAGAGGGATAGTGGTAAAGCCCCTTCTCCCCCTACTGTTTTCCAGAAATTCCAGACCTTGTCTTTCCCTGACCCTTGAGAGTGTGTGGTTTATTTCAGTGAAAGGTGGAGAAGGGAGGCCATGTCCTCACACTTTGTCTCCCAGCAGCCATAGAGCCAGGGCTCTCAGTGACCCTGCCTCTTCCATCTCTACTCCTAACCTCAGGGCCCTCAACACCCCCATCTGACCTGCGCTTGAGCCCCCTGACACCATCCACCGTCCGGCTGCACTGGTGCCCCCCGACAGAACCTAACGGCGAGATCGTGGAGTACCTGATCCTGTACAGCAACAACCACACCCAGCCGGAGCACCAGTGGACCCTGGTCACCACGGAGGGTGGGGCTTCTGCTTCAGCTCACCAGCCCCCAGGGCATCAAGCAAGAGCTTCTCCACCCTCTCCCTCCTTTCCAACCTCCCCAGTGACTGGATTAGCAGTGAGAGTACCAAAGGAATTTGTTCTAGAGGCTTCTGAGAGGAACCAAGTAGGGAGATGCTACTACCCAAGTGGGGCAGGGCAGGGTGGGAGTTCAGCAGCCTTTCTCGGTCCTGTTTCCCTGTCCATCCCTGCATCCCATCCCTACCCTGTCCACAAACTCTGCTCTACCTGCTGTCCCCTCCCCCCAGGGAACATCTTCAGTGCTGAGGTACATGGCCTAGAAAGTGACACTCGGTACTTCTTCAAGATGGGGGCTCGCACAGAGGTGGGACCTGGGCCTTTCTCTGGCCTGCAGGATGTGATCACTCTCCAGGAGAAGCTCTCAGGTATGAGGGCAGGGAGGGCACAGCGGGGTCCATCCGGGGTCACTAGAGGACCCTGGAGTTGACTTGGATGCTTCCAGCCCCCAAAGTCATCTCTTCCAAGCCCCTGCCTCTGGGCACAACTATATTTTCATTGTTCTGGGCAGCTGCCCTGCTGATTTGGTGGAAAGAAGGCAAATTTGAAGGGGAAGTTGGTGCAGGTGAGTGAAGAATTTATTGGCAGGCCAGATGTTTGAGAGACTGGTTTGGTTTGGATAGGAGTCCTGGTGGTATAGTGGTTAAAGCACTTGGTTGCTAACTGGAAGGTTGGCAGTTTGAACCCACCAGCTATTCTGGCAGGAGAAAGGTCTGGCAGTCTGGTCTTTAAAGATTGATAGCCTTGGAAACCCTATGGGGCAGTTCTACTCTGCTCTGTAAGGTCTCTATGAGTCAGAGTCAACTCTTCAGCAGTGGGATTTTGTTTTTGGGTGGGGGTGGGGGGTGGGGAGGATTGGGTTTAGAGACCTTCTTGGAGAGGTTCCAGTTTCTTTGGGAGACTGATTTGATTGGAGGATTGGCTTAATGAGGTGACAGGCTTTATGGATAGAGGCAGGCGGCAGGACTAGCTACATAATTTTCAGGGTCCAGTGCAAAATGAAAATGCCAAGTCCCTTTATTAAAACATTATTAATAATGTTAAGTTGGTGACAGCAGAACATTAAACCAAGTGCAGGGCCCTTCTGAGCATGGAACCCCATGTGATTCCACATTCCTTATGGGCAGGAAAGGGTGTGTTTCATTGAAAGGCCAGTTTGATAGGGAAAGCCACAACTTCCAGAGGCAGAGAGGAAGGAGAGGGCGTCATTTTCCTTATCAGCCCACGTATCAGAAGTTTGTGAGTGTCCAGAGGGTGAGATTCAATGCCCCTTCCTGCCCTTGACTTGTTCTTCCCCTTCCCTCTCCCCTGCCAGACTCCTTGGACGTGCACTCGGTCACGGGCATCATCGTGGGTGTCTGCCTGGGCCTCCTCTGCCTCCTGGCCTGCATGTGTGCTGGCCTGCGCCGCAGCCCCCACAGGTGGGGAAGGGAGCCAGTCCAACCACAGGAGGGAGATTGCCAGGAAGGGCTACAAAGATGGGAGAGCTGGAAAGTAGCCATACCTTCCCCTTGGCACCCCCACACACCCTGGAGCCCCATTACAGTTAGGACTCTGGGATGGAGGGGTGGAGGATGAGGTCTTCATGAGAATGGGGAGGTGGACGTAGAGGAGGGAGGCCCCAGCCCACCTCCTCAGTGTGGGCAGGCACAGCGGAACCATTTTCTCCCTCTTCCTCCAAAAGCTACCATGATCTGGGAAAGAGGGCCCTGAATTTCCAGATGCCTGGAACCAAGGGAAAGAGAGTCCCATTAGCAGGAACACAGCTATTTGGAATAATCAAAGTTTTCTGTTCATTGTACAGATAAAGGAAATCAAGTCCCAGAGAGGGGCAGGAAGCTGGACTAGATCCCGGGCCCACCCCCACCCTCCTTACCTTTTGACCATTGTATCTTTCTCTCCATCTTTTCTTCCAGGGAAGCCCTCCCAGGTCTTTCCTCTACAACCACTGCTGGGAACACAGCACTGTATTCCCGAGCCCGGCTTGGCCCCCCCAACGCCCCAGCTGCTCATGAACTGGAGTCCCTCGTGCACCCTCGTCCTCAAGACTGGTCCCCACCACCCTCAGACATCGAAGACAGGGCTGAAGTGCACAGCCTTATGGGTGGCAGCGTTTCAGACTGCCGGAGTCACTCCAAGAGAAAGGTAAACCCAAACCTGAGTTGGTTTCCTGCCAAGGTAGAGCCCCACACTATGGCTCATTCCAAATAAGACACCAGGGGGCACCAGAGCACAGCTTGTGACCCTGTGAAAGAAGCCACGCCCCAGCTCCTCCCCACCCCCAGTCCTAGGCCAGCTGCAGAAGAGAAGCTCCCTCCTCCCTGAAAGGGTTGGCAGGGTAAGAAGCAGATGGGCCTTCATCCCCTGGCAGACTAGGTCAGCCTGGTTCTCACGGAGGGGAGGGCCCCCAGTAGATTCTAGGTGACTCAGAAGGCTAGAAAACCCAGCTCTCTCCTTACTGGGCTGGGGAAATCGCTGAGACGTAGCCTTCCCTAGCACCGGGAGAAGAGTCTAGTTGACTTGGCTGTGGCCAAGTGGGACCAGGACTAGGGTAAGGCCAGCCTCCCTCCAGGCAGGCCCCCTCAGGACCATAAGTGATAGCACATCACGCCCTACTCTGACCAGCCCTCTGAACCCGAGCCCTTCCCTCATCCTCTCCCTGCCTCCGTGGTGAAGCAGACCTCGCCTTGCTTGGAAGCCTCCAGACTTTGACAGGGCATCTGGTATCAGGCTTTTCTGAGGATTTTTCCACCTCCCCTACTGACTCTTAGCCTATCCTGTGCTCCTCCCCAGAGTCTTGGGGAAGGGATTTAGCAGGGAACCTGTTAGAGAGGGACATAGCAGGGGCCAGGAGGCAAGGTCCCCTTCTTCCCCACACCCCATCCACATTCCTTCCTGTGTTTCCCAACCCCAGACAAGGCTGGTCCTGCCCCTTAATGCTCCCCCTTCTTTCTCTGTACAGATCTCCTGGGGTCAGCCTGGCGGGCCGAGCTGGGCAGGCCCCTGGGCAGGCTGTGAGCTACCTCAGGTGGGCCCCATGCCCTCTCTGACCCGAGCCCTGCTTCCACCTGCTGGGACTGGGCAGACGCTGTTGCTGCAGGCTCTGGTGTATGATGCCATAAAGGTTAGAGTTCTGGGGGAGGAAGTAGCCCCTGGGTGGGCAAAAGAAAGGCCTGGCAATCTACTTTTTAAAAAATCAGCCACTGAAAACCCTATAGGATTTCCATGAGTCAGAATCTACTGTAAGGCAACTGGTTAGATTTTTTTGTTTCCCGGGGAAAGGAGGTCTGGTGGCACTGTGGTTTAAACATTTGGCTGCCAGCCAGAAGATCCACTGTTCGAACTTACCAAGAGAAAGATATGGCAGTCTGCTTCCATAAAAATTGACATCCTTAGAAACCTTATAGAACAGTTCTACTCTGTCCTACAGGGTTGTTATGAGTTGGAATAGACTCAAGTGAAATGGATTTTTTTTTTTTTTTTTTTTTGGTGGTAGTTTTGAGGGGGAGGGAGGAGGAAAGAAGGGAAGGGTCCCCATGCTTATAAAGAGGAAGCAGTAAGATTTCTGGAGAGCTCGGGAAGGTATTTTTCCCTGGGGGTAGGAGTCTTGCCAGGAGACTCCTAAAGACTCCAACCGTTGAGTTGGTGGTCAGCAGTCCAGTTTGTGGGAATCTTGTTTCACCTGGATTTGGATGATTGCTCTCGGTGACAGTCACCTTGTTGTGTTTTCTGCTCTGACCAGGGCAATGGGAGGAAGAAACCACCCCCAACCTGCAGGAATCAGGTGGAGGCCGAAGTCATTGTCCACTCTGACTTCCGTGCATCCAATGGGAACCCTGACCTCCATCTCCAAGACTTGGAACCTGAGGTTGCCCTGCCTTCAGAGGCTCCTAGCCTCACCTCGGGTGTTGTAGATCTACGGCAAGGGCCAGACTGGCTGAACCAGGAGCTGGGAGGGTGCGAGCAGGCAGCCGCTGGGTCAGACAGACTTACCTGCCTGCCAGAGGCAGACAGTGCTTCCTGCCTCTACCCAGACCTCCCAGCCAGCGAGGCTCTGGAGGAGGCCCCTGGGAATGGCTACCAGCAAACGACCCCCTGCCCTCTAGCAGCCAGCCCAGCCCTGCCCAGAGTTCCAGTCTCCTCTTCTGCTTAGCGGCCCTAGAGGGTGCAGTTTGGAGTAGGCTGGTGCGGATCACGGGAAATGGCATGAGTGGCCATACATGTCACATGTGTACCCGAAGGTACATCGAGCCCTGTAGGATTTGGAGCATTCTCGGCTGCTTTGGCTGAAAGGAGAGGAAGAAATGGATTATTCTTTCCTCCTATATTCTTTGCAGCACATATGTGATATATGAGAGACAGCGAGACACAGCTACATGTGATGTGCACACGTGTGGGGCACATGTATGTGTCCTGGTTGGTGAGCTGGGGAACCTGGACCCAAGCAGTGCTCACTCCAGCCTAATTTATCCTCCAGGTCAGGACAGTGCCCAGAGTGGTCACTCCCAGCCCTGTGGGCCCCCATCTCCATCCCCCAGCCTTTTATTACACACTCTGAGAGTGTCTCCAATGCCCTGTCTGACAAAGACAACCTGAGCCCATTTTCCTGTCGGGCTGGGCTGAGTGCACGCAGGCTCTAAATGCCTAACATTTTAGCTGCATCGCCTCCCATGCCCCCATTGGCCAAACTGAGACGGTGACCCTGGCTCCCCTCAGAGCAACTCTGCGTTTCATTTTGTAATGTGTGAAGTGCCTGGTTTTGAAAATCTGCTTATCTACCTTTTTCTCTCTTTCCTCCCTTTCCATTTGCTGCTGTGTCTGGTCAACTCACTGTCCCAGTTCTAGTGCCCTTCCCTTCTCCCTGTGGCTCTCCTTTCCTTTCCTTTCTTCTGTTTCTGTATTTTTCTGCCTCTCCTTGTCTGTCTGTCTCTGCCTCTGTCTGTCTTTCTCTGCTGTATTTCTTCCTGTCTCTCACACCTCTCCCAGACTGTGTCATTAGTTCTCCTGCCTGGGTTCAATGTCCGTATCCTCTCTAACAACATGACTACCTCATGTCTGTTCAAGTCAAGGTGTGACTCCTGCGTTCATGCGCCAGCATCCTCCCACCTCCTTTTCTCTCAAAGCCTCTGCACACCCCCTCCCAGGCAATTCTTGTTTCCATACAGACTCCCCAGCCTCAGGGCCAGTGGGGAGAAAACTTTCCAGCTTTTCTGGCATCCTTCACTTTGGAGTTGGGGTAAGAGAGTTCTCCTTGGGAGTGATGAATTCAAGTCACTGAAGGGGATATTGGAGATAGGAAAGAGAACAAGATTCCCACCTCTCCCCACCCACTGGCCCCCGCCCAAGGGGCTCTGGATGAAATTACTCCCTCCCTTTTGCCAGGAGGTGGGGTTGCCGGAACTAAGTGGTTTTGGACCTTTTTTCCCAGCTGAAAGCAGACAGAAGGGAGACTGGGGTTAAGAGAGCCACAGGCCAGCCCCTTCATACTCTGCCTGCCTTGAACGTGTGTTGATTTGGGTGGGGGTAAGAGAACTCTCACGAATCTGCTCTTGGCCCTTCATGCTTTGTAACCCCACCCCCCACCCTGGGGTGCTGGGAGGGAGGTCTGCACAGGACAACAGTAGTTGGCTCCTTTTGTTTTTTTTCTTTATATTAATCCTGAAGTCGTTTTCTGTTGAGTTGTCACACAGGGACAGCTTGACTTCTATTTCCTAGTGGAGAAAACAATGCCATTTATTGGATTTTTCACATTAGCCCCCTCATAGGAGCATAGAATATGGGGTCTGTTCTCTCTAATTGTGTCTTTCAAACTGATCAGCACATCAAGGATTAACTCTGGCTTCTGGGCCAAATAGGAAATAACCAGTCTATCTTTCCTTTTATATATATGGTGAAATGTCTCTCAGCAGAGTTGCAGCTTCCTCAGACCCTGAAAGCATCTGTGTTTATTACACTCGGATGTCACTCATGTTTGACATCGGCACTTACATTTCCTCCTCCTCCCCCTCCTTCACTGGCCTATGATAACACTAAAGATTATTAATGTTGGTTTTGTATCTCATTAAGGACAGAATTCTCACTTGTCCTTTCTGTGGGATTCACCATTGCTGTGGCTAACACCACTGTGTATGTTTCATCATTGCTCTGAAGGTCAAAAGCCTCTTCTATTTTGCTGGTTTGATTTTCTTTCTTTTTTTTTTCTTTTAAAGAAAAAGAACTGCCCTGAGTTCAATGGCTGCTGTAACAGTAGGCCCTCAGCAATACATGACGCAGTCATTTTTCATGTTCCTGTTTAACAGGCACTGGGGTTCTAGCTTAAATTAAACGGCTGCAAATGAGATAGTATATAACCCATTAGTTTGGATGGACAGGTGCTCTGTGTGGTGTAGTGGTTACAGTGGTCCCCTGATAACCGAAAAGTCAGAGGTTCAAACCCACCAAATGCTTCTCCAGAGGAAGATGTGCCAGTCTGCTTCCATAAAAATTATGACTTTGGAAACCCTATGGAGCAGTTCTACTCTGTCCTATAGGGTCACTATGAGTCAGAATCGGGAGCTCTGGTAGCATAGTGGCTAAGGCACTTGACTGCTAACCAGAAGGCTGGCGGTTCAAACCCACCAGCCACTCCTCGGAAGGAAGGTTGGGCAATCCTACTATCCGTAGTGATACTGCCTCGGAAACCCAAGGAGGGGTCGCTATGAGTCGGGCTGACTCGATGGCAAATAACAACAACAACATGAGTCAGAATCAACTCAACAGGCAAGGAATTTGGTTTTGTTTTAGGTTAGGGGGAAAATTGTTTCTCGAAAGCAAAGAAGTAATAAACTCACACTTGATGAGAAAGTGGCCATTACTCACTAGCATTATATATGATTTAGGGTCTGGGTAATTCTGGAAGTGTTAGGAATGTGTCTTTGTAGCAGTATTCTTATTAGAAAAAAGTCTTTTGGCCTTTAACAGGGTAATAATTTCTTTGTCACCTTCCACTGAAGCCTTATTTTTTTAAAAGTCTCATTTAAAAAATCTTCCTCTTTGATGCATGACAAGTGTAATCGGTACCTGCTCATTTATTTGTCTTTATGTAGTTTATGCTGTATTATTTAATTATTTCTCCAGCATTTTTTTTTCCTCCTTACAAATATGATATTCTTTAGTGTTAAGCCAAGACATTCATCATGTATCTGTCCCTATAATGAATTAATAAACTATTTTCCAAAAAGGTGAAATTCTCTATTGGAATTTTCAGAATTGAGAAAGAACTGAAGCATCTTCCTCTTTCAACAGGCCCTTATGAAAAAGACAAACTCAAGGAAGATGAATCCTTTGATGGGGCTCTTTTAGGCTCTGGAGATCTCTTTACCTCGCATTTTTTCTGAACTTTCTTAGGTGCAAGGGAAGAGTGAACAACTCCAAAGATTTGGGCCACCAGAATTGCTCATGGCTGCACTTTCACAATTACGGACAGCTAACCTACAAGCTCAGAGACCCACATGCTCACACTCACCTTCACAAACTTTCAAACATGCACACGTGGGCTGACACACAGTAAGTCCATGCTCGTACACCACATACATCTCAGGGATATGGTTAATAGTGAGTGGCTCTCTTTATAGAGCCTGGAACCCCCTTGTCTCCTGGAGAGAGCAGAGAGCCAGAGGCTACCTTGCCTGGGACCACCCCCAACGTGGTGGGTGGGCCAGACCCCTAGTTAATTGACAGATCATACAGGGAGATACTGCACATTTTGCATGTGGCAGAATGGCCATTATTTGCATATCACTCTCAGACCAAGGGTTGTGATAAAGAAGAATTAAACACTTGTCAAAATGAATTTAAAATGACAGCAACTCAGGACACCAATTTGACCTCTCCAAAGGACAAACCAAGAAGGGGTTGTTGAGAATTCAGGACCTACAGGAGGGAATCCCAGCAGGGAAGACACCCCTTCCCTCCCCCTTCTGATGGTCAATAGAGACCCATCATTCCTGCTCTTCTTTACAATGAAAGCCCTGGGCCTTTGGCTTGCTGGTGTCCCCTGATAGTGAATTTCTCCATTGCCTTCCACTGCTCCAGTCCTGCCTCTCGAGTTCATCTCCCAACTGCTACTGCAGAATAAAGGCGCCTCACGACTGTGCAAACCTCATCATTAATAAACTTGTCCACCTATTGGCAGTCTGATTTCTGGAGAGCTGCACTTTATTGACTCACTGGCAAACTTAGTCTTGTGGTTATTGTTAGGTGTCCTCTAGTCAATTCTGACTCACAGCAACCCTGGTGACAGAGTAGAACTACCTCCATAGGGCTTCCTAGGCTATAATCTTTCCTAAAGCAGATTGCCAAGTCTTTTCTTCTGAGGAGCCACCAGGTGGATGTGTTCAAACAGCCAAACTTTCAGTTAGAAGCCAAGCATTTAACCATTTGTGCCACCAGGGCTCCTTACTAGAGTTAACACCCCTGGTCCCAAGTTTCCAGAGTTGGGATCAACAGAGATATTTAGTAATTCCTCTGTCATCCAACCCAATCTGAGGAGAGAATAGCTGAATGAGATGGAGACTGCCATCTTTAAATCTCCAGATTCTAGAACTTAGTAGATGCTCAACAATTAGATGGACTCAACAGAGGATCATTAGTGAGTTACCAAAATGTAAGGAGCCCTGGTGGCGCAAAGTCAGTGGTTAGAACCCACCAGCCCTTCCACAGGGGAAAAAAAAGACATGGCAGTCAGCTTCCGTCAACATTTACAGCCTTGGTAATCCCATGAGGCACTTCTTCTCTGTCCTATAAGGTTGCTAAGAATCTGCATCCACTGAACTGGATGGCAACGGGCTCTTGGTTTGCCAAGATTGACAATCTCTGGGAGTCAGCATGGGCATGTACCTCCTAAGAGGCTTGCTTGCCTTTTTAACATTCTTATATGGAACCTGTGTTGTCTCTATATGTTCTCTGACATGGAACATTGAGTCATATTTGTGGCATAGAAATATTATTGGGAATTTTAACTTTCAATGTGTGTTTCCAGTTACCAGGTCATATGTCCCGGCCTGTCTCTTTTAAAAGTCCTTAGAGAGCTCTGGTAGCGTAGTGCCTAAGGCATTTGACTGCTAACCAGAAGGCTGGCGGTTCAAACCCACCAGCCACTCCTCAGAAGGAAGG